GAGAGAGAGAGAGAGAGAGAGAGAGAGAGAGGGAGAGTATGAGGCAGAAGGAGCGAAAGCGAGAGAAGGCTTTTCAGAAAGAATTCTATATTGATTTTTATAATCTGAATGTGGCAATATTGGCTATGGAGGTGGCTTGTATGTTCTAAAGCCACCACATGAAATGTGATCCTTTCATCGTTGCAACAAAAATCTACATGAAGCCGAAGGTTTTTAGCTCCAGCTCTAACTAGGAAATTGTTAATCTATTGAAAGATTGTTCATATAGCATTTCAAACTATAATTATGCCTTAACAAAAGGACTGCCATAACATGGAAGATGATATTGTATTAATATGAGAGTATTGTTGAAATTTTTTACAAATCGAATTATACAATAGAAAAATGTATTCGAATTAAATGATGGAAGGGAAGAGGTGGCATGAGAAACAAAATAAGGGAAGGAAGAACTGGAGAGACAACGAGTCACCTAGTTAAATCATTAAAACATAGCTTAAAATGGACATCTTCATTCTTTCCATTCTAAAATGAATTGGGAAGAACGGGTTAAGCTTTTCGAACATTAAAAGAAACAGCTTTTAAATTCATATACATATCTCTGGAATTGATGAAGCAAGTAGTTGAGGTGAAAATTCTGCACTTATTTTTGAAAGTTTTATCTTCTCCACTTATTACATATTCAACTGGTAGGTTGCGGAAAGAATTCTTAGAGACGTATGTATATAGTAAAAGGAAAAATAAAACGTTAAGTAATTGTCGATACTCGTACGGAATGATTGTAATTGACCATGATCGGTTGAACACATGGCATATATGAAAGAAGGGCGAGATAATCGAGAAGTGTGGTCGAACAAAATCGAATTTATATAAAATTTTAACTTTGATTTTTCTGTTTGAATCGTCTCTAGGATACTGCTTCAGTTACAGGCAGCTTATATATTCAACCGATACAGATAATATAGCGTGCAGATTAAAGAAAAGCTGAAAAGAAGTTTGAAAAAGTCAGTTCTCATGTTTATTGATTGGAGTTAGATAATGAAGGAGACAATTGAGTTTATACGCATGTGAATAACAAGCTTTGAATAACTCAGAGCATTTTTTTTGGAAGATTAGGATTCTAGTCATGCTCTTCTAAACGATAATTCATGACCATAGCTTAACCTCTATCTCCTCAAAAATTTACATCACGAGATACCTACAAGCTTCAAGAATCTCACAAATTGGAGATCATACTAAAAAGCAGAAAAGTGTGTGGTTATTAACTCTTTTAACTTGGCAGATTCCTAATGCAGTTCAGCTTCTACTTTTTTCACTTTCTCAGTTGCTAAACTCGGCCTGTCTTCCGACTCCCTCCTTTTCACTCCTTCTTTCTCTGTCTCTTACTTGTTCTCTCTCTTCCCCTGCGCTTTCACTCTTCAACACACATTCTTCTTCTTTTATTCTTTTTCATACTACATCTCTCTCGCTCATTTCTAGTAAAGTAAGAGAAGCCTGGATGGAACAGACTCAATCAAACCGGAAATCATTAGAGGAGCTTCAAATTCAGCCTAACAGCCACTGGTCAAAACGAGTTCTTGTAAATTCGAATGTATTTTATTATAGAACTGAATGTTGTTTTTATGTTGACCTTAGCACACAAAAAAAGTAAGCCCTAGCTTATTCCATTTGAAGCCTGCATGCGATAGCTTGTTAACGACGTCAAAGCCACATGAATAAGATGAGGATGAGAATGAAGTAAAAGCATCGATAGAGCATTTTTAACTAAGAATTATTGGAACAAATCAATAAAATATAGAATTTCTTTCGAAAAAACTGCTTGTCTTAAGCTACACCAATCGATATAATGTCTTCTTAACAAAAATCACAACACACGAAGTCTTTAAGCTGACACAAAAGAGAGAATGAGCAAGTGGAGGGAATGTCATATTTTTTAAGGAGAAATGGATTCGAAAGTATCACATAGCATAGACATTAGAAATGAGTATCTGAGATGAATGATAATGATACAGAAGTAGAAGTTGATGAAAACAATCGAGAAGAAGTATATGTTGAAAATCATCAACCAAACGTCTGGAGACTAACGGAGTAAAAAATAAGGAAAGGCAGAGATAAGGAGGAAAAGAAAGAAAGAGGGAAAGAAAGAAGGAGAGAGATAATTGAAGAATCGAGAGAGAAAAAGACAAAGAAAAAAGGGATGGGTTAGCATGTGCGAATGAATAATATGACGGAAGTTGTATAATAAAAATGAATTATTTTAACCTTTTAATAAAACTAAAGATAGAACAACATTTTAGAACTTAAGAAGATGTGGAAAAGTAGAATAGAAGCTCCACATGTGAAATGGATGCTTTCATCGGCAATGGCTTGTTGAGAAAATAATTATCAAAGCTACTTTCTCTTACTCGTTCTCAAAAAAATATTGAAAAGTCCTCTAGAACAAACTAAATCAAGCTTAAAGCTTATAACTTCTGTTGAATTTTAGCTATGTTAATTTTATACAAATTGTCTACATTAGGCTCTTATATTTAAATTTGATCAATATGTATATATTAGATGTAAATGGGAATTGTTCAGTACAAGGTTACGGGTGGGCTTCTATGCTCACTTAATTAGGTCAACGAGCGACAAAGACAGAATCTATGTGATTAGCCTGGGAACAACTATTTATGAGCCAATCACAAACAACAAAAGCTCCCTAGGGCAAAATTCCCTCTATCTTTCTCTCTGTTCAAACTAGCACTTCATTACCTTGATTTTATATCCTTTGGTCCAACAACTAAAAGCTTCTTTTGTGGATTATCAGTCTCTAATATAGTTGGGCGTAAAATAGATGAATCAAAATCAGCGAAAACCACTTTCTGAAAATAAAATTTTCAAAGAAAAGAAATGAAATAACGGAAGATGAATTATGAGGAAACAATCTCTCTTCCCCAAGTTATTTTAAGAAAAAAGTAAGAAAAACGAAATTAAAGTATACATCTAAGGACTGACAGTCTCTGTCTCCTTAAAACACAGAAAGAAATAACTGAACTGTTCAGAGAGGAATATCTTTATGAGAAAGGAAGAAAAAAAAAAGAAAAAAGGGTTAGAAATAGAAAAAAACATTAAATAGAGAAAAAAGCACTTGAACCAGACAGGGTAAAGGAGATGAGCCTATTCGAAATTCATGGAATGACCATGATGCTAACCAAGAACCTTCTGTCTCTTTTCTTTTTTTCTCTGACATGAATTAGACCGAGCATAAAAATAAAAGGAATTTATATTTTTTTTATTGTCGATTTCACCTATTTTCGTCTTTTTTGAAATTTGAATATGCTAATTAATCTTTTACTCACAGGGTATGTATAAGAAATATGCCTGTAAAGCAACTTTCATGAGAAAAAGTTTTATCCTCGGGACACAGAGAGTGGTTGATCTCTTTAACCACATCTTCAGTGAAGGTTTGTGAGCAATTTTGAAAACAAACAGTGACAAGATGAAAAACTTGAGAAGTGAGCAATTAATTACTGTTGAAAGCTTTCGGACATTCAATGGACATAATAGATTCAGAAAAAATCAGTTGGCCTTCTTCAAAGCAACAGGTGTTTTTTACACAAAATAACAAGCAAAAAAGAAGAATACATGACAATCATGAAATAATGAAGAGCAATAAGAACGAAAAAAAGAAACGTTTACCTGATTCTCTCTAAGAGTTTCTGTCAGTTCCTCCTCGACAGCTTTTTTTAATAATCTAATTAGTTCTAAGTCAACTTTTGGGTGTTCGAAGGGCTTTTCGTGAGGCTGAAAGTCGATCAAGGATGATACTGTTTTTAATGAAATGTTGAATAAACCTTACGACTTAATTGCCGAAACAGAGGATCTGATAAAAGCTTTTCTAATCTTTCTATATCTTTTTGTACTTCAGCACTCTGGACGCGAGTCCGAAGATCACGCAAAATACAGCGGACTCTCTCTTCTTCTACAAATATTGTTATTTGTATATCTATATATGGCTAACTACCTGGGGGACAGCTCATTCGTAGGCATGGGTGACAGGATAAGAATTGAGCCTAAAGAGAAAAAAATTGTGAAAATAATACGTCGCGGATACAATTGAGTAGACAATAAAACAAAATACAAACGAAAAATAATGTTTTTATGATTGATTACTTGATTTTTCAGAAGAAAAACAATAGAAATTTGGAAATCAGCTGTTCGTCCTGTTCCTTTTACTCTTTTATTTCGTAGTTCTCCCTAATAAATCATTTTTTCACCTTACAATTACTCTTTTTGAGCCCTGCTTATGATTCTTCTTAATGCTCTTCATCTTTGTTTAATCCTCTTTCTCTCATTCTTCTTATTCAAAACTCTCTCTTTCACTATTAGATTCTTGCTATATTTCCCATAGAAAACTTCATAAAGACTAGTAGTTGATGTTAACATGAAAATGTTGTTTGCAACTCAATTAACTCTTTGTACTTTTATATAAAGAAGTTTTCTTATGTTTCATAGAGTTTTCGATGTTTGTGCGTGATAAAAATTCATTTCGTTCCAAATTTGGAGGAGTAAGAAAGACAAATAATGACCAAACACATTAAAAGAAACTAAGGAAATGCGATGTCACATTATGTGATGGTTTTCGTGCTTCCAGAACAAGAAAACGAGCAAATGCTATGAAGAGTTGAATCAAAAGAAAAGTATTATAAGAGACAGTGGCAAAAAGGAAAAGGAAGGTAGGAACAGAGAGAGAGAGAGAGAGAGAGAGAGAGATACAGAGATAAAGAGAAAGGAAAAGAGTAAGAGAGAAAGAGTACCAATGAGAAAATGATACTCAGAGAGATGAGCTGAGAGTTGGTAAGTCATTCTGCTTTATCTCTTAGCTCACCTAGCTTCAGGCGCTAAAAAAGATCAATCAATTGGGGTAATGTGAGTAGTTTAGTAGTTACACAATGATTTTTTTGTTCACTTCTCTACAAAGAGAAGAAAAAAAAATTAAAAGTGAGGAATTGTATTTTGAAGAAGAAAACAAAGAGGATTGTTTATAAAATATTTCAGTCTTGGTGAAGATGTGAATGCTTCAAACGATTTTCTCCTTGTTTGAGAGAAGACGAAATAGAACAGAAGCTGTTATGAAGAGTGAAATGAAATTGAACGATTAGAAGCTCAAACGATAAACAATTGATGATCTGATGAAAGTTGATACTGAAAAAAGTTTTCTTTTTAGCATCCTGAACTGCATGAGATGAAATCAATTGAAAACTAATGTCTTCCAACAAGATCTTTCATCCTGAGAGATGAGAAAAGATAAATGAATGATGTAAGAATTAAAATCTAATTATATATTAGAATGAACTAAATATATATATATATATATATATATATATGTAGAATCTGATATATATTCAAATTTTTTCTTGAGCAAGACGTTGAAGACAAGCAAAAGCGAGAACTTGAGCTGAATGGGCATGATTGTCTAATAGAATTGTCATCGATTCAGGATGGATGAAAAAGGGTGACATAGAGGGTTAAGGAAAGCTTGAAGTAACATCAGAAAAAAAAACTTTTTTCCATAATTAATGGCATTTTTCACACTGTTTAACCAATAAGATAATTTCTTTATTTTTTGAGAAGAACATCTCTCTTTGTCTCATAGTCACATTTTACTTCTTTTTTTTTCTGCTCACTGTTTTCATTTCTCAAGGGAATGTTAATAACTCTGATTTGAAGATCGAAAGCAGAAGCATTACATCTGTAAGGAAAATGACGATAGAGATAGAGAGAGGGAGGAAGAGATAGAAAGAGAGAGAGAGAGAGAGAGAGAGAGAGAGAGAGAGAGAGAGAGAGAGAGAGAGAGAGAGAGGACGGGTGAGAGAGAGAATAAGG